AGTGCAAAACGCAGACTGCGGACTACGGAACGGGGGTACAATGCAGACCTAGGGTAAAATGTAGTGTTACCATTTCCATAGACTTCCTAAAAGTCCTTTTCAATAATTATTCCCTGGCTTGTTGGCTTCTAATTCGCCGTTGGAAAGGACTTTTCCCGCTTGCAGCGCGTCAAATTCACCGGTGGATTTTTTCCCTAGTGACGTAAAAACACCTTAACCAATGAAGAGACTAGTATTGACTTTACGTCATAACGTAGCGCGCGAACAACGACACTGCTCGCAAAGCAAATGTCAACTAAGTTCACGTACTATAAAATTATTTCACATTTAGGTTTTGTTCACGGATACTCACGGATATGATATGATTGAAAGAAGGACGGAGGAAAGCAGCGGAAGGCTATTTATCCGACCAATACGTGTTTGTTTACTAACTGACAAAATCGGGAGTCTGTATTTTGAGTTCCTTACGTAATCCGGGAGCACACTATCTCGTTGAGTAGGAAGAGAGTATATGAAGGAATGAAAAAAACGAATAATTATCTTTGTCTACTGTTGTCATCTCTGACGCACACTTACAGAGAAACCGCTACCTACACTGCATGAGCCTGTAGCGCTAACTTCGTCCCTAGGCAATTTTCGCGCTGTGCAAACAGTTTCCTGGTTTATATATAACTTCATAGTAAGGTGATGACGGTAAAGGCTGGTTTTCACTAGAACATAAGCACAAGCACAAGCACAAGCATAAGCATAAGCACAAGTGAAAACAGCCGCGACATAAGCATAAGCATAAACACAAACATAAGAAAAACAAACCCACTTATTTGCCTTGTGCAGTTTTCACTAGTAACGCGCTCGACATAAGCATAAGCATAAGCACAAGAAAAACGGAACTGTCCGTGCCCTCCACCACCCCTACCCACGGGCATTTTGTACTCTCTCCAGTTTCGCTCGCATCAAGAGATCAAGATGGCAGCCCGACGAGCTCAACGATCGACATCTACGATCTCACGAAAAAATAGGGGACTGTGAACAGTCTACTCCCAAAGCGGCAACATATTCATGTTCATTACCTGGACAATATAACATTCTTTTTATTCATTTTTTTTTCTTTCTCTTCGTTTCTTGTCATTCACAATTTACCCGTCGAAGACTGTAGTTCAGGCAGCCGAAAGCATGTAATTTTTTAATCGTTTCAGCCGGAGATCGTTTTAAATTTTTACCATGTTTTATCCAGGCTGCGCTCGTCCAATATTTTCACAAAATTATATTCTTTTCAAATTTCAGCCTGAGGTATATTCTTCAAATATTTCGCGAATTTCAGCCTCGATATTCTTATAAAATACATTTGTATTAAAACTATAAAAGTTATATACATAAGCCCCGCTCCCCAACTCCTCGGCAATCAAATTAAAGTTCAAAGTTCAAGTTCAATGTATGGTTTCCAGTTCAAAGTACTAACGGCTTGATCTTGACGATTTTAATTAACAGACACCGTAGTTGCGCAAGCATCACAACCAACAAGTTGAGATTTCATTGTTCTTTATCGGACATCTGATTGGCTGGATTTGAAAATGTTGGAATCTATTGTTTCAGTTCTGCCATCTGATTGGTTTTCATTGTCTGGGTGGCTCTGGTTTCTGTAAAAGCACTGTAAATCTGTTTGAACGGACTTCAAAGAAAAAAAATGTCGAAGTCCGGCCGAACAAAAAACAAGGTGGGACCGGACGTGATCGGACGACGAGGTGGAACTATTTCTAAAGGTAGCAATNGGATTCCTAGGGGTTTCTAGCTTCCTAGCAACGAGTGAACGGCCAAAGGATGAAATTTAAAGATGAAACATTTTCATCTAATGACATGTTGAAAAGATATTGCTGAATGCTATTTTATCAACCGATAATTTTGTTGCCAAGACTTCAGTGCAACTACATGGATCACAAGACTGCCAAATTCTCTACCCTTCTTCCCCCTAGCCTGCGTCACAGACGGTCTACACAGCCGGTATAGACTATACTAATGGAGGACTTTGTGGCACGTCCGGCTGCACGTACCTCAGGCTACTTCCCCCATACCCTGTTAAAATCCCCGGTCTGCTGCCCTACCTTCCCCCGCCCCCCAACCCCAACCTTACCGTCCGAGGAAGGAAATTCGTTCGCCATATACTAGTTAACCACTAAATGCTTGTTAAGACCCATTAAAGTGCCAGAAAGCTATATCTAAGCAAAAGCGTAACGCCTGCACAGGAGAGCTCCAGAACGTACGATATGACTTTACGACCTCCGTCATGCAACCTCGTTCCCAGGCTCTCTCTTCTTTAATTAACCTCCCTTGTTAGAAACGAGGTTGCAACGCAAGTCGAGCTGCAAAAGCCGAATCGGAGCGAGGAAAATGTCCGCTAGGGCAAAACGCGCGAGGAAGAGGAACTACCTACAACCGATGAGGACTTTTGAGAAGGTCTATCACCCCAGCAGTCAATACATTTTCTCCCAAAGGTACTAAAAAATCAAATAGCAAAGCAGATACAGAAATCGTCAATTTATTTCGCCAGTAACGACTAACCTTCACCGTAGTACAGATGGATGGTTTTGGAATACCAGAAGGCAGCTTACGTCGCAAGCAGCAAATAAAAATCGCAAACAGCAAAACTATCAGGAAGACGAGACCTGCAATACTGCCATGAAAAAAGGAAGAGACAAAATCAGTTACTTCGCACACGCTCCTCCTCAGAGGCTCCCAAGGGGAGGGGGAGATGAAATCGGGGTGTGAAAGTGCGAGGGGAGCATGCTTCTGTTTTGCCTGTCCCTAGCCTCCGAACTACCAGCCTACACGGTCAAAGCATCTGATTTCGTTCAATTCGAAGGAACGAGTAATATCAAAGTTATCTCGCTAATTTACTTACGCAATACCCACGATAGCACCAACACTCAAACCGCTCCCACCAACATCTGACGAATCGAATCGAACTCCCATGTCTTGTTTGGCGTCAAGTAAGCATCTTCCTGGGCATGCGCAAATGCTGTGCAAAGATGTCGACTGTTAAGTATGAAACAAACAAACAAAATATTAGACCATCTGCGGTGATGGGTAAATCCCTTTGCAGATTACGTATACAGATGTAAATGTAGATATAGACCGAAATTTGGAACATTAGAACGAGACAGAAAATATGTCTTCCTTCCAACGTGTTCTCCAGTTTTTGCAGCCATTACCTCTGGTTGCGTGTCAAACCAAAAATAAATGACGATGAAGGGTATTTTTTGACTATATAATGATACAGAGTTTGCTTAAGAAATAAAGTAACCATATAAGCCTAACTCCCATAAAGTAATTGTTTGTGTTACGTACACAGCCGTGATGGCAGAAAGCAACACAGTCACGCAAGTCACTGTCATGTACAGCTTTGTACTTACGTAGAGCGAGGAATCGGAGTTCATTGGATCCACTTTTCCTATTTCTTCTTCATCGCAAACCAGAGCAATCAACGTTTTACTTTGAACATAAGAAAAGAACAGGTTATGAGTCTGATATGGAATAACATATTTCGAAAATTCAATATCCTCACACGTAATCTGATTGGTTAATTAGTATCTAACCTCCCCTGAACGTCGAGCGGAGGCATCGATCCGGAAAGCGACTTCAGAAAAGTGCTCACTCGTTAGAGGTTGAAAATTAAGTATCCACGCACGGGTGGTGGATGTCCTAAGTATAATTTTCCAGCGATGGAAAATTGCTTTTGCAGGTAAATTTCCGTTCGTTGGTATTTCTATTAAAGGGATTAAGTTAGCTCTCAGCTACTGGTCATCTAATAAATTGAAATACCACAGTAACGGCTAAAACCGTAGAAGAAGTCCAAAACAAAACCCAAACAAAACAGAAAGGCCAAAAAGGGGCACGGAGGAGCAAAATTGGAGATTTCAACGGATGGTATTAGGGTAAACTTGGAAAACCTTGATATGTGGCCGTGATTTTGGCAATAAAAGACTGTTTCTTTCCAAATTTGAAGTTCAGAACTTGTAGTAGACAAAATTAAACACAATTACCTAGAATATTTCGACCCTGCTTCTTACAACTCTGGAATATATTTTGCTCTCGATTTTCAAGCAATGGAAACACTCCTGAGGTTTAAAGGAACCTAAAACTGCTGCGCAACACTATAATCACAATTAAGTCATCGTTACATTTTGTTGTTTCCAGAGACTCCATAATTCAGCAGACATTGTCCAGTCTTCTCATCAAGGACACACTCTGACAGCTTGTGTTCTCCGATGTTCACACGGGAGATTTCAGGAGCTGACTTTCGGTTCAACTGACAAACCTGTTGAGAAATCGATCGAATCAATAAGTTAATTGCAATTTTAAAAATTGACGTCAGTTTTTCATGCGTCTGGCCTGTTATTGATCATGAATTTCGTCAAAACATTGTCAAAGGGATCCGCGGACTACTTTGACAATGTTATGCCGAAATTCATTGTCAATAACAGAACAGACGCATGAAAAAACTGACGTCAATTTGTTATCCACGAGAACAAATTGTCAAGTTGTCCGCTCTTGCTCGTTGACGTATCGCATAAATTATAAATTTATGTCTGTCCGCTTATTGACAAAGAAAATTAGCCAATGAACGCCAGAGAATTTAAGCAGTTGTCCTAAAAGTCTTGATTGCTACATAAACAGGTGTCTACTTTAACAAATAGCTTTAACCCCCACTGATATCAATCGTATTCGTCCACATTGTCGTCATCAGTATCATCAAGTCGTTACACGGCCATCGCCAGAAGTACTGCTGTACAGTTAACATGAAAGGTTGTCTTAAAGAGGCGTAAAGGCCAACGATCGAGGTTGAGCGTCATTCGATGTGCACAGGAAGGAGAAACATTGATCACCTGACCGAATACGCTTATTCATGTTTTTTTTTTTTTTACCTGCTGAAACATCGTGAACCTGATCGTGAACTAAGGTACAATTAATCGGTCAGTGCAAAACGCAGACTGCGGACTACGGAACGGGGGTACAATGCAGACCTAGGGTAAAATGTAGTGTTACCATTTCCATAGACTTCCTAAAAGTCCTTTTCAATAATTATTCCCTGGCTTGTTGGCTTCTAATTCGCCGTTGGAAAGGACTTTTCCCGCTTGCAGCGCGTCAAATTCACCGGTGGATTTTTTCCCTAGTGACGTAAAAACACCTTAACCAATGAAGAGACTAGTATTGACTTTACGTCATAACGTAGCGCGCGAACAACGACACTGCTCGCAAAGCAAATGTCAACTAAGTTCACGTACTATAAAATTATTTCACATTTAGGTTTTGTTCACGGATACTCACGGATATGATATGATTGAAAGAAGGACGGAGGAAAGCAGCGGAAGGCTATTTATCCGACCAATACGTGTTTGTTTACTAACTGACAAAATCGGGAGTCTGTATTTTGAGTTCCTTACGTAATCCGGGAGCACACTATCTCGTTGNGAATACGCTTATTCATGTTTTTTTTTTTTTTACCTGCTGAAACATCGTGAACCTGATCGTGAACTAAGGTTCAATTAATCGGTCAGCGCAAAACGCAGACTGCGGATTACGGAACGGGGGCACAATGCAGACCGAGGGTGAAATGTAGTGTTACTATTTCCATAGACTTTCTAAAAGTCCTTTCCAATAATTATTCCCTGGCTTGTTGGCTTCTAATTCGCCGTTGGAAAGGACTTTTCCCACTTGCAGCGCGTCAAATTCACCGGTGGATTTTTTTCCCCGGTAACGTAAAAACACCTTAACCAATGAAGAGACTAGTATTGACTTTACGTCATAACGTAGCGCGCGAACAACGACACTGCTCGCAAAGCAAATGTCTGCTGAGTTCAAGTACTATAAAATTATTTTACATTTAGCTTTTGCTCACGGATACTCACGGATATGATATGATTGAAAGAAGGACGGAGGAAAGCAGCGGAAAGCTATTTATCCGACCAATACGTGTTTGTTTATTAACTGACAGAATCGGGAGTCTGTGTTTTGAGTTCCTTACGTGATCCGGGAGCACACTATCTTGTTTACGTGATCCGGGAGCGCACTATCTTGTTGAGTTGGAAGAGAGTAAATGAAGGAATGAAGAAAACGAATAATTATCTTTGTCTACTGTTGTCATCTCTGACGCACACTTACAGAGAAACCGCTACCTACACTGCATGACCCTGTAACGTCCCTAGACAATTTTCGCGCTGTGCAAACAGTTTCCTGGTTTATACATAACTTCATAGTAAGGTGATGACGGTAAGTGCTAACGCGAGATCAAGGTGTTCGGTGGCCATGTCTGAAACTGAATCACACACTTACATTACTTAAAAGAAATGCATATTCGAACCGCGAGAAAACTCCTTTCTACTCTCTTTGGGGCCCAGGTCCCGACTCGTGCTGAGCAACCCGCCAGCCTTGTCATAAAATTTAGTAACGAAACCTCTCCAATTCAAGGGATATAAATTTTATAGAGAAAAAAGAAAGAGCTCAGAAAACGTAAAAACTCGGATAGATCGTCCTTTCTTGTTTGAATTAAGTCGAAGGGGAAATTAAGTAGTGTTCACCTGGGAATACAAATAACCTTTTAAGTCATCCCTTTATGTTATCGATTTTTTCATTTCTTTTGTTTTAATTTTCTCTCGCTCTTTGAGACCCAAACTTTATAGAGCTTCAAACGTGTCTTGCAATAGAAAAGAGGCGAAATACTGTACTTGAAAAACATTTGGCAAATCAGTGTCGATTTAAAAAGAAGAAGGCTAAAATCAAGAGTTAAGTACTCTTCAAATTACATTTCAACTTTAAACTTCCGCAACAATACTACTCTCTTTTTTTTATAAGAACATTGTTTTTCTACTCGAGGCTGAGTATGCTTATTTTTCGGCGAAGTTTAGGCTGAAAATATTCTTGTGAAAGTTCTTAGATTGCATATACAGCGTATGGCATTTCTGTTTTGGAATGTATTTGGTGTCTGGATGGTGTTTAAGTATTTTTGGAGCCATACTGCAGGCATTAAAGCCTGAAATCACGCAGAAATGTTCTTAGCATCGAACTTAGGGCTAGTGTTGTTTTTGTTGCTTTTTGGCCAGTTTTGCCGTCTGGAGAAAGGAAGAATTTTTAATATGCTTCGCTTTTATATGCTTCGCTGGATTCGCAGATAAACGTCGTGTACAAAATTCCTTGTGCCACTGTGTTCGCGGTGCTACATTGGAGAAACGGGCAGAGCTTAGCTTTCAACATCAGAAAAAAAGGAACATTTCAGAAATGTCAAAACAGCGGTCAAAGGCTCAAGAATTGCAAATCATGCCTGGACATGGTCACGCGATCACGCTATTGACTTTGAAACGCGTCTATCATTGATAAAGGTGGTTTTAGAACAAGAAAGACACTGCGCATGCAAGCGTGGCATACCAAACTGACTCCCAAAGCGGCAACATATTCATGTTCATTACCTGGACAATATAACATTCTTTTTAACAAACATTCATAATTTGCATTTTTGTTTCGCAATTTCACGCATTTTTTATTCAATTTTTTTTCTTTCTCTTCGTTTCTTGTCATTCACATTTTACCCGTCGAAGACTGTAGTTGAGGCAGTCGAAAGCTTATAATTTTTTAATCGTTTCAGCCGGAGATCGTTTTAAATTTTTACCATGTTTTATCCAGGCTGCGCTCGTCCAATATTTTCACAAAATTATATTCTTTTCAAATTTCAGCCTCGGGTTTATTCTTCAAATATTCTTAAAATTTCGCAAATTTCAGCCTCGATATTCCTATAAAACATATTTGTATTAAAACTATAAAAGTTGTATACATAAGCCCCGCTCCCCAACTCCTCGACAATCAAATTAAAGTTCAAAGTTCAAGTTCAATGTATGGTTTTAAGTTCAAAGTACTAACGGCTTGATCTTGACGATTTTAATTAACAGACACCGTAGTTGCGCAAGCATCACAACGAACAAGTTGAGATTTCATTGTTCTGTATTGGACATTTGATTGGCTGGATTTGAAAATGTTGGAATCTATTTTTTCAGTTCTGCCATCTGATTGGTTTTCATTGTCTGGGTGGCTCCGGTTTCTGTAAAAGCACTGTAAATCTGTTTGAACGGACTTCAAAGAAAAAAATGTCGAAGTCCGGCCGAACAAAAAACAAATAGGTGGGACCGGACGCGTGATCGGACGACGAGGTGGAATTATTTCTAAAGGTAGCAATAGAGTTCAAAGCTTGAAAATTGAAAACATCGGATGTCATGGTTTTCGAAAAGCTCCATTCTCAAAATGTTTTCCGTCCACACTTAACTGACGCAAAGTTCCGTTTTCAAATTCCTCCGGTTTCAAGAGCGTCTTCGAAAAGTTCCGTTTAGGTGTGACGGATTAGTGTGGACGGTAGGCCTAACCGGAGAATTGTGAATATACTTTAATTTCTACAGACTTGGTCGCTATTTTTATTTCGAAGTAGCTATTTAGCTGAGCGCATATGACCACGTTAAATAAAGGTTATCTCTTATCTTTTCAAATTCCTCCGGCGTAGAGTGGATTGGGGCTGCGATGTGTTCAGGCAGCAGTTTCATCGTTGGGTGTTGTCCACATTTCCATGCTCCGTTCGTGGTTTGCTGAACTCCTTCGCGTCCTTATCCTGCTTGACCAAAAGAGTTGTTTGATCCAAACACTCGCACCTCAGTTTCTTCAATCAGCTTCAGCGATGTTTGTAGTTCCACAAGTTAACTCAATAAACGCGACGCGAAACTGTCTCATTCTGACCGAGTAAATAATTGGATTTAGGAAAGAGTTCAATATTATCATGTACGTACCTAAATAGAAACACGCATACATCTCTTGTACAGACATGGTACTACGAAGCTTTATAAGCACAACTCTAAAAACACACGTGGGGATATAACAGATGAAAAGCAATGAAACGATGATAGCTGTCAGTTTAAAAGTCTTTTTGTCTCTCAGAAATTTCTGCCTTGCCTCTTCCGTAACTTGCTGAGTTGAAAGTTGCTTTTCGTGTCGTCGAACTTCACGGTAAACCGTGATTTGACAGAAAACGATAATGGCGAAAGATAGCGCTATAAATGTGTTGTTGATGATTAAAAATACATCCCTGTCAATAATTAGAGGAATGTGCAGAATGAGGGAAAATAACCAAGCCAGTGCAGAACAAGTTAGCAAGCGAGCCTCCGTGACTAGTCCGGTGTTGTACCCATAGGTGTGCTTCATGGCTACATATCTTTCTCCACTTATGAAAGCAAGGTGGATAAGAGAAGTCTCACACAGGATACTCATGACATACTGTGTGGCATTTTGTAATGCACACGATGTAGTCGTAATCTTTCCTCGAACGATAGATATCAATAACGCTGCGAACAGGGGTTGAACAATCACACCCACCATCAGGTCGGTCGTGGCCAAACACGCGAGAAGTATGTTAGACTTGACGGCTCTCACTCGGGATTTTGTTTTCACGGCCATTACAACCAACGCGTTCACGGCAGTGATGAAAGGAAAGGTGACGATGATGATTACCGCGAGGAAAATAAGAAGGGCTTTGACTTCAGTGGCAGAAGATGGCAGTGCTCCTCCCAGTAAATAGTAGACTCCGCATCCAAGCGGTAACATTCCTTGGCTTGGAACGCTTTCGTTCATTGCTTCTGCCTTTGGGTTGTTTTCACTGAAATCAGTGAATTTACTTGCGATAGCGTAATTTGGCTACAACTTCCATAATTCATTTCATTTTCTCTTTTTTATTTAAATTTTGAAGCCCAGTGGGGTTTAAATAACAATTGCCCTAGACGTCAAGATAAGAAACAGGACGAGCGGTTCGATTCCGAACAGAAAAAGCGATGTCCGCAAGCTTCATTTAATTCACTTAATCTTAAATACAGGACACTCTCATAAGCGGACAGCTCTACTTACGACCGTCTTCACAAAACCCCGTTTGAACTCCCATAAAAACTCTGTATTTACTCACTTGCCTAAGCAGACATTCCTGTAAGTTGCCGCGGACACTTGGAGGGCTTACGATCGAGACTTGTCCTTTGTTTTTACGCTCTCGTAAACGGACATTTGAAAGGAATTGGGCCGGACTTTGAAAGATACTCGTAAACATTAGTAAACTATATCACTACTTTTTGTTGCAGTGAGACTGTTAATGCTAATGTTAATGCTGGCTGCAATTATGGATTATGGTTTGTTATTTCATATCACTGAGGGCCAGTACTAGAACTGCAGTATACACAGAATGTTTTGTACACATGCAGTTATCACCCTTGTTGCGGCATTGCACAAGGCAATAAAACAACAAAAATAATAGAGTGTTATTTTTGTATTTCGGATGTTTATTGTAAGCTGAGCAAGCTCCCGTGGGCGGCCATCTTTCCCTTACAACTCTAGTGGCCTCTAACGTGAACTGTTCTCGTAAGCGTCAGCTCCAGGTACGGGAAGCTTTTTCGCGTCCCGAAGGTGTCCGCTTCAAAATTCATCAAGTTAAAACAAAGAAAATCACAACCGTGAAGGAGGTTTCAATACCCGGTGTTAATTAGCATAGATTTTTGACGAGTTTTTTGTTAGGACTGTTAACCCAGTGAAAGGCAATGAGACGATGCAGATTGCTGCAAGGAAAATAGCCTGCGAGCAGGCTCGAGTTGGAGCATTAGCGCGCGCGGCATAGCCACGATCTCGAAATCGACCGGCGAAGCCGCGCGACTTTCTTGGCGCCTCTTAACCAGACTCCTTCCCGCCGGATCGCTTTGCTCTTCGCCGCTCGCGCGCGTGACTCAAAGGTGAGCCTGCTCGCAGGCTACAAGGAATATAAGAAGGGCTTGGACTTCAGTGGCAGAAGATGGCAGTGTTCTTCCAATTAAAAATAGATCCTGCATCCAGGCGGTAACATCCCTTGGCTTGGAAGGCTTTCGTTCATTACATCTCTTCTTCTGGTTGATATACTGAACCCTTTCCTCTCTGTCTCTTTCCTGCCTGCTTAAAACTGGCTTCTCATTATTTGCTTGTCTTGTTAAGTTTTTAACTTTTCACCGGGCATTTTTCAGTTTTGATTACGTGTTTCAGTTGATCACTTTCTGTATTTGCATTTTTGTTGTGTTTCATTGCTTTATCTCTACAGTATCACATCAAAATTTAACGCTTTTTTTGAAGGGAGGCAACTTTTTTCGCGCTCGCGACTTCCTCGGCCGACTTGTGGCAAGTCTACCATTTCCATCCAGCTGATTTCCATCATTGATAGCTAGCCGTACACAGGCTAACCGGAGCGTTATTTAGGCTAACCTGAGTGATATTCTGGCTAACCAGAGTACAGACTTTCACTGCGATTAGCCTGAAAAATCCTGCTGACGGTCAGCACTCGATAATGGAAATATATTTAACAAATGAAGAAGTCTAAGCCGTGTATTACATTGCGACAAAACACGACGGGCATTTGAAAACACGAGGGGAATGTAGAAAACACTCGCCCGCAGCTCGCGTTTTCTACATTTCTCGAGTGCTCTCAAATGTCCGGAGTGTTTTATCACAGTATAATACACGGCTTAGGCTTCTTCATTTACTTTATGATATATATAGAGGTAACGTGGCGGAAAACAATAAAACACGCTTTTTCTATGTTTTATACTCTGATAAAACATGGGTTTTTGGCCAATCAGAGCGCGCGCAGGGTCCTATCTATATTATAAATTACGATATATACACTTAACAAGTCTGTAGTCTACAGTCTGCATTTTACCCTCAGTCATCATTTTACCCCCGGTATGCAGCCTGTGTTTTCACTGACCGGATTCTTAATATAACTAAGCAACGATACACTGTCATTACCCAGAACACCTTTTAAGGTCTCGCATACGTGTCTGTAGGACTGTCAGGCTTTCTCGAAACAGCTATATTTTTCCATCGTTATCGTCTTTGTTATCCGGTTATCATTAACTTTAGGTCATCACTATCCATCGTTATTTTGATAGTTATCTTATTCTTCGCTGCCATCGTTTTCTTCGTTTGGAAATGAACGAGATCTGATTCGACAAGCAATTCATAGAGGAGCAATTCTACCGAGAACATACGAGGGCCTACGCCACAAGTAACCGCGTCGTAGAAGAAGGTGAACGAGCACAGTCTGGTCGCGCGTGTGCTGGGGCGAGACCCAACACCCGCGCCTCGTCCATTCCTTTGCTCTCGCCCCAATTCTTGCTCGTACAAAATGCGGAAAGAGCTCTTCGTTTGTACGCCGGAGAACGTGTGCAACGCAGGCTAAGTCACACATGGCACTTCTTGAAAACCTTGGCCAGTGTTTTTTCAAGATTGGTGTTTTTAGTCATCTTCAAGTTTGGGATACCGTGTTTTTTGTTTTTTTTGCTTTTTTTTTCACTAGTCGACTTACCGCAGAATCTTCACAGGGGCCTCCTTGGTCTGTCCGTGGGCTGCAGGGGCTCCATTGATAGTAGGTTGTTGTTTGAGCGGCAGATGAAATGTTGAATCTGTTTGATCCACAAACAAATGAACGTATGTTATCATTCAGGGGAAGAGAAGGGGAAGAGAAGGCAAAGAGCGGAAGAGTGGAGAAAGGTGGACGCACGCTACCCGAAGTTCTCCACTTTTCCTTCCGTCACGTACGCTGCACACAACTCTCTACTTGTACTTCCGTCACGCACGCTACACGAAATTCTCTTCTTTCAATTCCGTCACTCACTTTATATACAACTCTCTACTTTTATTTCCATCACGCACGCTGACACGAAATTTCTCTCTCTTCACGCACGCTGCGCGAGACTGTCTACTTTCATTTCCGTCACGCACGCTACACGAAACTTCGTCACGCACGCTACACTTAGGGGATAACGCAATCTCCTGGGGATGGGTTTGCTTTGTAAACTCATCCAGTTGTCAGTGATTTCTACGATAACTGGTTTTGACCACCTTATTTGAATAACTTATTCTTCTTTCTGCATTAAATTGAAAAACGTAACGGGACAATGGCTATTCACCAGGGAAACAAAAAGACGTCCTGAAAATTCTTGTGCGAACACGTGCTTTGTTTCTAAAATTGGACAAAAGAACAATAGCCCAACCTGGACATATTGACTTTCCGCATGTAGAAAAAGTAAAAATAATATTTTAGAATATCAGTCATCTTGTATTAAACTACTGTATTTAGTGTCTGAAGAGATCCTACGACTGAATCAACTTCAATTTCGTTGCTGGAAGAGCGACATAAAGCGGCTTTTAACTACAAGAACAAATACTATCTATCCAGTGTGAATCAGTCCCGAACAAAACTTCGCCAACCAGCTCGATTTTTGGAATGGTGGATGGTTTTTAAGCCTGTTCCGCGGTCCCAAACAATGTGTCAGGTTTTAAAGGGCAACTATCTGGTATGCCAGTAACGGAGAATGTTCCCTGCCCGGGTTTCAAGGTTTATTATTGTAAGTCAAAGTTCAGGTTGTACCGCATGGCTACTCGTGACACTCTTCGCCCTCTGTTGCGCGCATTCGTATTCTTTCAATAAAGATTTTTGATAAACAAATACTGGTAGCTTGTTGATAGCTTCGCATCCAAAATACAAACCACGAAGCAGCAAGAGTATTTTATTGGCATACTTCGGCGCGTAGTATAAAAAGTTGGGACAGAGCGACTCTTCTAGCTATGTTACGAGTAAATATTCAATCTACATATTGATTGCAAAATCCTTTAAACGAAAATAAACCCTTGAGAATGGTTTCCCATCTCACTGAT